ACTTATTGTAAACCTGCATCTGTACAATATTTATTTCCACGCATTGGTTGTTTTGCAGCTGAAATTGGTTCCAAAGTGACTTGTTTTAAGTTTCAAAGGTTTGCAGGTTGAATATATATTTCTTAGTTGTAAAGAGGCAGGCGGGGGAGATCACCAGCATTCAGCTGCTCTCATAACAATAAATCTGCATTTTAGCATTACTGAACAGTATTCCTCTTCTCTCCAATTTGAGAGCAACATGAAATAAGCAGTGGGCAATAGAATGGAGAACTAATTCAACAACCAGTGCTGCAAGACTGTTTATGTAAAAATCGTAGTAATTCATGTACGTGAGCCACGTTCTTAAAAAATGTTAGACCAGTCAATGTTGAACTTCAATTATTTGGCTATTCTAATTGCTTTTGCTAGTAATATTAACAAACTCAAGACTTTCACTCCAGTTCGTGAAGTAGCAGGCCCAGACACACATTGCAATATTCGATTTCTTCCTTAAGAGGCTTCTATGTTATGCTCAAGTTTCAGCATGTGTTTGAAGAGCTTAGTATACTGTAGTTCTGTGGTAATGTATTGTTTGTCTTTCCTGAATTTAAAAAAAACAAACTAGTCCTGTGCACAAAATAGCATTGCTATCTTAAGATTGATTCTTAATTCTGTTTTCATTAGGGTGATTGTTGGATATGCATGGAGCTCATGTCTACCTCGTTTGACAAATTCTATAAATATGTATACGGTGCATTAGATGATGTTATCCCAGAAGAGATCTTAGGCAAAATCACATTAGCTGTAAGTAACTTGATGCATGTTTTAATACAAGTTACCAAAGGAGTAATTTAAAATCTGTAGTCAATGTTCCATAATGAATTATAACACGACTACAACAATTTATAGGAAACTAATTTCACTGCTTATTGGGTATCTGTCTAACTCTTAGTTTTCTGGAAAATGGTCCGCCTCTGAGCTTTGCAGTGGACCAAAGGTGCTAAAATGTTCATAATATCTTTAACTGTAATTGTGAACTAAACCAAAAAAACTTACAAGCATTTCCATAGACTTAATTAAATAACAAACTCATCCTTCATTTGTCCTTCAGTTATCTTTGTTTTATCCCACCCAAAGCTCAACCAATACTTGCTTTTTGCACTGAATGGCTTTTTTATTAATGAAAATAAGAGGCTATCAAAAATGAATACTTTTGTTAGTGGTATCTGAGAATTGTTGTTTCCTAGTGATGAAACAATTACTTTCCAAGTGATACCATGTTCAGTTATTATCTGATTAGGCCTGAGGCAGTCCAACTTGCTTGCACTAAGATAACAAGGTGTAGAGCTGGATGAACACAGCAGGCCAAGCAGCATCATAGGAGCAGGAAGGCTGACGTTTCGGGCCTAGACCCTAACTTTGTTTTTCTTCATTCTTTCATGGAATGTGGGTGTTGCAATTTTGCCTATCCTAATTGCCCTTGTAACTGAGTGACTTCCTAAGCCTTTTCAAAGGGTTTTTGAGAGACATAGTAGATGGCAGAGTTGCTTCCCTAAAGAACTTCATTAATGAAAAATATAGATTTTTAAGATAAAAATAGATTCCTTGGCATTGTTTCTGTTACTGGGTTTTGGGTCCCGATCTTTATTAATAAAATTCAATTTTCACCAGTTGCTATAGTGAGATTTGAATCCATTTCCCCACAATGAGTCTGGCCCTCTAGATTGCTAGTCCGGTGACATTATCACTATGCTACTATCTTTTGCTAGCGCTAGTGAAATTGCTGTGCAAATTATGATCAATTTCTACGTGAAAGTGTTAAATCTTCTCAAGCCTGTATAAGGAAGAGTTTTTAATCTGTCTTTATCAAGTGTGGCATTTATTAGACCAAAGTGTGAGTGTCCAGTTGATCCTTAGATTTAATATTCAGATTTATGATTCAAAAATATAATACCTTCAACATGAGAAATAGTATGATAGAGTTACTTGATTATCAGAATCTCCATGCTACTTTGTTTACACACTCAGTATTAGTACAAAAGCTTTTACTTCTCATTGAGTAACTTTATTTTGCTGAAGTTAAGTATCTGACTTTAGTTCAGCATATAGAACTTGTCCTATATTTATGTGGAGGTTAAAGATTTTCATCATTATCACATTCTTGGTGTGGTTTTTCTGTATATTCACATACGTATGAGATGAACATTTTTGATTAAAATTCATTTCCATGTTTTTAATTCATGCCATCTCATTTACAAATGATACATTTTATTGAAAAGCTGTATTCTGTCAGCTTCATAAAGTATTTTACTATAATTAAGTAATATATGCTTATACTCAATCTTACGCAAAATGTATATCATTTGAAAGACTGAGAAATTTGAAGCTAATTTGAAACATGATGCAACAAATAAATTACTTTTTCATAAATAGTTATGGTGACTTTCAAGTTAAGTATTAATACTCTGGTGGCTGTACTGAAATGAGTAATTTAGAGAATGCTTAATTGTCTTTTCCAAAAAAAGTTGGGTGTTTTAAGAAAGGTAATATGATTTTTAAAATACTTCTAAAGACATTCCAGAAAAACACAAATTGTTTATTTTGGCATAGTGGCTTTGTTGAAACCAGTTGAAAATTGAATTCCTCGCCTCCATCTTTAATGTTCCAATCGACCAGGGAGTGTTAAAGTTCATATTCATTGCAATTGAAGTTTTCAACCTGAATATACAATGAAATCGCAATGCTTCAAATGTAGATATCCAAAAACCCCAGTTGTGGCAAAGTTGTCAGCCATTCCTGCCAGTAGAATAGGAAATTTAATACAAGGATGCCAGCAATGAGTTGAAGGTCTGGACAGGTAACCCACATAACCAAACGTTTGCATGCTTATCATATGACCTTGCCAACCAATCATGATGGAGTTAGGTCATGATGTCGTACAAAATCCAGGCAAACCAGCAGCGATAGCTGCAAGTGGTCTCTCCCACGTCACCAAGAGACATTTTTAGCGCAAAGATATCAGCTGTTTTGCTGTTTAATATTTAAATGTAAAATAGGAACATGTCACTTGCCATGGTTGCACTAACATGGATGGTACCAAGTATCTGCCACTTTTTCCAATGTGAAAGCCTAAGAAGCCGTTTTCCTTTGTGAACGTCAGAATACTGACAATGCAGGAGCTACCCTGGATGACCACCTCCATTTTTGAGGCATGAATCATGAAAGTGAGCAAATTTATCAACAGATGAAAAGGAAGATTCTTACCATGATGACCCTGAAGAATTGGAAGAATGCCTGCCTGCACACGTCTCATTCTCTCGCTGAAGTTGCAAGACCACAGAGATGCTCCATAATTTTGCAGTACAGTATGATATTATGGAAAATATGATCGCTTGTATTGATGACATGGTGATCTCATCCAAAGACAGTACTCCAAGCACACAAACATTCCTGCACTTTTCAAGCACTAATGTAACCTTTTTCTTTGCAAGGTCAGGCTGTCGGGTGTGAACAAATTGAAAACTTAATATTTTTCACAGTTATTGCATCTCTGTTTTCAGTTTTTTTTTAAAACACTATGTTTATAGGCAAATCAAGTTACTTGAGGGCTTTCTCGGCTATCTTGAAGTTCTGCCTCATGAATTTGGGTGTCCAGCGATTTGATTTACTGCGCGTTTACTACTCTGTAACTAGTTTGCATAAGGCTAACATTGTAACTATTCTTTTCCAGACTGTGAAAGCACTTAACTACTTAAAAGAAAACTTGAAAATAATTCACCGAGGTAAGAGTCCTAGTCTTTTAAGTAAAAGAAATATTTCCATATTGAAATTTAGTTGTTTTTTCAGCAATTGTCAAAACATGCAAACTTGGTATGTTACTCCATGGAAGAATTTGACATGCCCTTTTAATGTCTTTTTAGGTGGTAAATAGTGGAACCAGTGCGTAAATTAACTACTGTTCCGATAAATAGAAATAACTTAATTTCGCCAAACGCATTAATTACTAAAATTGGGACTTGTCATCAACAACCAAAACAGAAATTGTTTTTTAAAAATTGACTTACAGCTGGAGAGGACTGCTGGTATCAGACCAAATCTACCATTCAATGTAGACAGAGTGGACTGCAGCTGTGCATTCTGGCCCATATGCTGATTATGTAACAATGACAGACATACAAGGTTCCTAATACATCTGTCATTCCAATCATTTGTGGAAGAAGTTGGAACAGTCTAGTTAAGGCAACTTTAACAGCTCCAACAAAAATAGTTCTTCTAAAAATGCATATACTTTGAAATGATGAGTACGTTGGAAAAATTGGAAATTTTAAGGATGTTGTACTAATATTTATTGATGGCATGTCTCTTCTGCCTTGTTGCCCACTGGAATCTGTGAACTCAATCTCCGATGTGCATGTGTTGATGATTTAAATCAAAATATTCACCAAGCAGAAAGAGAAAAAGTTCTAATTTGAGTACGTCATGAGATTAGATAATTTAGCACAGTGCATGGATTCAAAATGACTGATTTACATATACGCCTGTAATATGTCAGATTATAAATTTTATCTGCAGAACTTTTGTAGGATGTCACATTTAATCATCCACTTATGAACTTTGTATTGCTATTAAAAGGGTATTACATAGTATTTGTTGTCCTCATCAACTACGTATTTGAATAATTGACTTTTTTCTTCATTCTTGCCAGGAAAGATTTTAATCCCTATCATTTTTTTATAGAAAGTCTGGTGTTCTTTGTAAAAGATATTGATCTTATTACATTATATCCAATGACGACTTTTTTAAATTTTACAGATATCAAACCTTCCAATATTCTTATGGACAGGAATGGCAATATTAAACTCTGTGATTTTGGTATTAGTGGACAACTAGTAGACTCTATTGCCAAAACAAGAGATGCAGGATGTCGACCATACATGGCAGTAAGGCAAAATTGTATTTTTTCTCAGTTGTATTAATTACTAGTCTGGTGACCCTTAAACTTTAGGATGTGTATATATTTTGTTTTCATTTAAACTGTTACAAATGAAGCCCCTGTAATTAAAAGACTAATATTTAAAATGACACATACAGCGATGCCTTTTACAACTTCATAACTTTTAAACCTAACTCCAATGTTTCAGTGAGTTTGTAATTGTGGAATGTAATGTTTATTAACAATTAGACATTCCTGTAAATCTTCTCTGTTTGTGGAGGATTTACTGAATGTTTACGCAAGCTCTTAACAGTAAGAACTGTGCTTTTGTACCTCGAAAATAAGAATGACAGCTTTGTTCTAGCAAGGCGATTCATTGCCTGACTTGAACATAAACTGTTTCTTAGTAAACAAATATTCTTGCCAGAAAATTGGACAGTACTACGCTTTGGCTAGAGATAATAGGAACTGCAGATGCTGGAGAATCTGAGATAACAAGGTGTAGAGCTGGATGAACACAGCAGACCGAGCAGGAAAGCTGACGTTTCGGTTCTAGACCCTTCTTCAGAAATGGGGGAGGGAATTCTGAAATAAATAGGGAGAGAGGGAGAGAGGGGGAGGTGGATAGAAGATGGATAAAGGAGAAGATAGGTGGAGAGGAGACAGACAGGTCAAAGAGGGCGGGGGGTGAGCCAGTAAAGGAACATTCACCTTTACTGGCTCCACCCCCGCCTCTTTGACCTGTCTGTCTCCTCTCCACCTATCTTCTCCT